GAATATACTTAACCCTTGGTCTCCAACGGTCTACAGTTACGACAGTGTAAATAACCCTTGGTAAGCGAAAAGGTGGTGTTTATGGGCTAGTCGAGAGCTCTTCAGCACTCGAGGAAGACCGAGTATCGTGTTATCCAAAAATCAAAATTGATATGCTGCCTTTAAAATAAAGTATATATATATAAAGTTACATCTCATTGAAGTCTTTTACGTCTCGGGGTTTGTTTCCACCCGGGCACGACCGGAAGAGCACCAGGGCGCCCCAGAGCGCTCACTTACGGCGGGCGGGCTGGATCTTTGCGCGCACGCGTGCTGAGTTTCCGGGGCGGGCTTCGGGACTAGAGGGTGTTGACCCGGGAACAACCGAAGCCGCTGTGGTCTAACGAGACTGCGCTGGCGTGTTCGCGGGCCTCTGTGGACTAAAGCGACCCAGTCGGGGTGTCCTAAACTGTGTCCCGGCCCGGATGGAGAGAGCTGTTACGCTCGTGTGAGGGTGCTGCTTTAACGTTCCCTGCTCGGCTGGGTCTGCGCGGGCGGCCGGTGTGAACCCCGCCTCCGCGTCTGTTTGGTTTTCAGCGGCAGCCCCGGCGGCTTTGTCGGCACAGCTCCCACAGCGTCCTCTCTTCACAGCTCCTGTCACACTTAGTGCCTTGGTGCATTGACTGGCCCGGTGGGATTAACAGGTGCATAGGACGTCCTAGTCTCACCTAGTCCTGGATTGCACTTCAAAGTTGAGATTTGCCGCTTTGTGGATATGTTTGTCTAGATTTTTGTTTTTTAAGTTAAGGGCTGCTTCATAGTCTTTTTTTTTTTTTTTTGAATTCTGTTCTTATCAAACCCACTTCCACCCTTGCTGCTTTTCCAAAGAGGTGAAACTGTGAACCCCGAAGAAAGTCCCTCTGTTAAGAACCACGGGGCTTGTTTTGTGACTCTAACCAGATGAAAACCTGTGAGTTTAGCTTGGAAAGGGGGAGAAGGGTTAAAATGCCGGCGAGGAGACTGCGAGAGGTCGTTTCCCCAAACCAAGGGGGTAACTTGGATGTGGTGGAAGATGAGCTGCCCTGCGTTCCTCCCGCATTGTCTGCAAATAAACGCCTTGCTGTTGGAATGAGGACTAGCTCAAATGGAACGTCATACGGTATGTGATTCCAAATGGTGCAGTATTCCACCCAGTTTGTGTTTCTGTAAGTCGAGACTCTCTATTTTTCATGTCTAGTTTGGGTTGTGGGAGTGTTTACATTCTCAAGTGTAAGATACAAATCTGGTTTGTACGGATGTCTGAAAAGTAACTTGGTTCCCTGGGAAATAGCCAGTCTATAAAAAGTATGTAGAATGAATGAAACTTACATGTTTCCTGTTGTGTTTCTTCTTGGTGTGGTCTCTGCATCCAGTTCTTGTTCACACTCATGATGGATACAGTGAGCTTGAATAATCTGCTTAATAGTTACCAAATGTTCAACCTTCTTTTTTTTTTTTTTTTCGGTTTTTTGAGACATGGTTTCTCTGTGTAGCTTTGGAGCCTATCCTGGCACTCGCTCTGGAGACCAGGCTGGCCTCGAACTCACAGAGATCCGCCTGCCTCTGCCTCCCGAATGCTGGTATTAAAGGCGTGCTCCACCAACGCCCAGCCAACCTTCATTTTGAATAGTACTATCCAGTCTGGAGTAGGAGAAATGCATAACTCCAGTCTTTGGTGGCTTCTGTATTTACAAATTACCTGTCCTGTTTAGAGCTGTGCAGCTGTACTGATTATTTTAAGGGTCATATTAATGAATGTGTGTGCAACAGCAATATGCTTGCTGCTTTTTGGAGGTATGCTATAGCAGGCCTTCTGTTAAGTCAGGATTTTATATCTATCTGGTGTTTGTTTGTTTGTTTGTTTGATTGTTTATTTTTGAGAGAAGGTTTCCCTGTAGAGTCCTGCCTGTCTTAGAACTCACTGTACCAATCAGGCTGGCCTTGAAACCTGCCTCCTGAATGTTGGGATTAAAGGCATGGACTACCACTAAGATTAGACCTGAGTTTACCATGAGAAGAGGTCTTGGGTTCAGTCAGTAGTAAAAACAACAAAACAGTACTCATTTTGTTTTCTTAGGTTCATTGGATTTAACTTCTGCTAGAAAACATCACCAGCTTCTGTCAGAAAATCCCACTGTATCCAATAAAAGTGTAAGTAAAAGAATTCTAAGTTGTATTAAAACTTCAGGAGTATGTTTTGTTAAAGTTACAGTTTGTTAGTAACATGTTTTACTTTAGGTTCCCCATAAGAAGAGAAATGTTTCGTTTTTCATTTTATTTTTTTTATCAGGCTCTTATTTGTTTATTTTGTGTACATGTAGTCATTTATTTATTTATTTATTTATTTATTTTGGTTTTTCCAGACAGGGTTTCTCTGTGTACCTTTGTAGACCAGGCTGGCCTCGAACCCACAGAGACCCGCTTGCCTCTGCCTTCCGATCATCATAACTTTTTAAAATTAAGTTTTTTCCATTTGTGTGTGTGTGTGTGTGTGTGTGTGTGTGTGTGTGTGTAGGGGTAAGGTGTGTGTGTTTGTAGGGGTAAGGGGTGTGTGTTCATGTTATGGCTGGCTCGAGGTTGCTGTCAGGAAGCATCCTCTATTGTCCTTCCCCCTTAGTTCATTGAGTCAGAGTCTCCCTGCCCCTGGGGATCCCCACCTCAGCCTTCCTGGGTTGGAGTTAGAGGCAGGCTGCCACATTCTCCCAATGTTCACTTTGCTTCTGGGGATCCAAACGTTGGTTCTCATGCTTGTGAGGCAAATGCTTTAACTTCTGAGCCATCTCCCCAGCCCGGTTTGTTTCCTTCTCTTTTATGCTTTAGAAGAAAAAAGCAAGGTGAAAAGCCCCATGGAATTGATCCAGTGCCTTAAGAGTTCAAGAGTCTCACTCAGTACTGAATAGTCTTATCGATGAGTTCTAGGATTGCACACAGGAGCAGAAAGCTGTTGAACAGTAGACAAGACCTACATAGCAGAACTTTTTAAGACATCGTGAGCTCATTGACTATGAAAGCCATGGTTAGTTTACTCTGTTGAACTATTAAATGACCATGCTATCTTCCTCCATCTGACTCATCCTTGAGTCAGATTATCACATTAAGCTGAAGCAACTGAGATGTTCAGATGTAGATTTGAATCAGAATCTTGTGCTATTTCTGTTTGCTTGTTCATTTTCTCATTCACTATTCTGATATCACATTGTTCATTCACTGAGAAATCTTTGAGTGGCTTCAGAGTACTTATGAATCATGTAGTGTTGGGAGTAAGATAAATAAAATGTGCAGACCTGCCTTCTAGACCACAGTGGTCAAATGGCAATCAGTGTTATTTCATTAGTGGTAACTGAAAGGCTCACTTAGTCTTACTCTTTTCTGCCCACAGGATTTTTCTAAAGATGCTATAGTCCCGAGGCTACCTTTGAATAAAACAGAAGAGAACAGAACACAAAAAGGTAAATTAGTACAGTTGACTTCTGCTACTCAATTGAAATATACCAAAAAAATTGTTTTGTCAAATTTGAATGCATAATTCAAATGTACGTTAAGTACATTCATATTGTTGTTCAGCTGTCAACTGTCTTTCAGCTCTGGAACATTCTCATGTCCTCAGCTGAGCTCTGTGCATCTGAACTTCTCACTCTTGCTTCTGAGTTTGACCCCATCCCACACGTCATATGAGTGGCATCATACAGTATTTAACTTTGGTGCCTGGCTTACTTGAGCTTATCCATATTGTAGTGTGTGTATTTTCTTTGTAAGGATAGAATTGGCTTCATTTTTTCAATTTGATTTAATTAATTTATGTTGTATGTTTGGGTGTTTTGCCTACCTGTATATCTGTATACAGTATTCATGCAGTGCCCAAAAGGCCAGGGGAGGGGTTAGATTACCTGGGACTGAAGTTACAGGTGGTTGTGGGCCACCATGTGGGTGCTGGGAATTGATCCCACGTTTTCTGTAAGAGCAGTACTCTTAACTGCTGAGCCATCTTTGCAGCCCATAACTGACTTATTCTTTCAATAGCTTAGGAGTATTTCTTAGTAGTGTTTGTATCTGCTGTCTCTCTGTGTAAGTTAATACAGATGCTGTATCTTTCCTTTTATCCTCCCTTCAAAACCTGTTCTTGTTCTCTTTTAAATAGAGGACAGCCTTAAGGGTCAGTTCTTTCCTTTGCTGTGGGTGGGTTACATACATAGGAATCAGGTCATGAAGTTTGTGCATCAAGCATTTCTACCCACTGAGCCATCTTGCTAGTCTTGAGAAATTTTACTTATTGGAAAATTTTAAAGCAATTTGTTTTATTCTAAGTGATTTTTGCTCTTCCTTTAGAGTTAGAACAAATTCTGAGTTTTGTCTCTGCTCATTTTTATTTTTATATAATTTTCTAATATTTAGGATCATGATTATTACATTATTGCTTAGTCATTTAATCTGTTCCTTACCTTTTAAAATGTGATAAGACCAGGGCTGGAGAGTTGGCTCAGTGGTTGAGAGCAGTGGCTGCTTTTCCAGAGGACCCTGGTTCAATTCCCAGCACCCACATGGCAGCTCACAGTGGTCTGTAACTCTAGTATCAGGAGACCTGACACCCTCACACAGACTTACATGCAGGCAAAACACCAATGCACATAGAATAAAAATAAATCATTAAAATTGATAAATTCTATTACCAAATTCCCTAAACATTCATTTTAAGATGTTGGGAGTTTTTAATGTATGTATGTGTGCATGCATATATGTTGGGGTGTGTAGGTCTATGTGTACTTGTGTAGGGTTGCACGTGTGTGTGTGTGTGGGGGGTGTGGGTGGGTGTGTGTGTGGTGTGTGTGTGTGTGTGTGTGTGTGTGTGTGTGTGTGTGTGTATGTGTGTGTGTGTGCATGAATGGAGGGCAGAGTTGATATCAAGTGTCTAACTCATCTGTTAAGACGTGGTCTCATGAGCCTGGAGTTCACTGATTCAGCTCATCTGGCTGGTCAAGGAGCATCCTGTCTCTGCTCTCTAGCTCTGGACCACAGATATACCTGCTATGTTTTCCTTTTTATGTTGTAGTAGGGTTGAGATTCAGGTCCTCATGCTTGTGTGACAAGCAGTTTAGCCAATGGAGCTCTCTCCACAGCCTTTTAATTGTTTTGTTTTAGAGACAGGGTTTTGCCTGGCTGGCCTAGAACTTGCTATGGTAGACCATGCTAGCCTCAAACTTACAGGGAACTTCATGCTTCTGCATCCTGAGAGATAGATGTGAGCTGAAAATTGCAGATTGAATTCCTTCCTTCCTTCCTTCCTTCCTCCCTCCCTCCCTCCCTGCCTCCCTCCTTCCTTTCCTTCCTTCCTTTCTCCCTTTCTCTTTTAAAACAGTACCAGGGATCAGCCCTATGACTCATACATAATAAGCTAGTGTTTGTTGTGCCTCTTTCAGTGTTCAGCCCTCAATCTTGGCTTTTTTTCTTCTTCAGAATCTAAAACATATTTTTGTGTCTTGATTTTTCAGCAAATGACATCTTTATTTCACAGTACGCCATGGGACAGAAAGATGCTTTGAGAACTGTTTTAAAGCAAAAGTAAGTTTCATTTGCACTCATAGTTATGTGCTACCTTAAGTCAGAAGGAAACTCCTTTAGCATATGTTAAAAGATGAAAACACAGCAATTAAGAAAAACATAACAATGTTCTAGGATGAACCATAGCAACGTCTAGGGCTGGGGTTGTAGCTCAGTGGTACAGCACTTGCCAGCATGTACGGTCTAGGATTGTGAATGTAGCTTAATAGTAGCAAGTTCTAATGCTGGTCCACTCTGCCTTCTGCCATGCTCTCTTGCTCACTCTATTACAAAAGCCCAGTGTATCTAATGATGTGCACAGATAGATGCAGGCATGAGTGGTTAGAGCTGGGATAGAAAAGAGCATTGTGTTCAGTGGATCACTGCACTATATAGCTATGCAAACCATGACATGTCTAATTATAAAGCCTCAGCTTTGTGTTACATGCACAATCAATAAAGGGAGAGATGACAGGTGGGATAAAGACAGGTTTGTTGAAAAGGCAATGACTGTATTGCATCCAAAGAAGTAAGTAGTGAATTGGGTAGAAGGTTGAGAGTACAGAGAGAAAAGCTTGAAATTAGTCGTGGGCCCAGTGGCTTTGTGTTTTCAAGGAGAAGAGCTTTGCGGCTGCACATAGCTGTTGTTTGGCAGGGTAATAGCTATATATTGTAAAGTAGGGCAGCTAGAACAACAAAATTTTATGAGGTGGGGGGAAGCAGGCTGATCTGAGAAAGCTGAAGTGCCATGGGAAAATCTCTGGGAATTGGACCCTTAATTCTGTCCCTCATTAAATCTTTGGCTTTGGTCAAGTAAATCTCATTACCTCTGGACTTCAGGTTCATTATATAAAATTAAGAAATAAGGATGGGCTGGGCAGTGGTGGCCCACGCCTTTCATCCCAGCCCTCGGGAGAAAGAGGCAGGCGGGATCTTTGTGAGTTTGAGACCAGCCTGGTCTACAAGAGCTAGTTCCAGGACAGCCTCCAAAGCCACAGAGAAATCCTGTCTGGAAATCTCACTCCCCCTCCCCCCCAAAAAAAAAGAAAGAGAAGGATGGATGTACTTAAATAAGATTCCCCACCTCCCCAGTGCTATCTGTGGCAGTTGTCTTGTAATTATGATGAAATAATTGAAAAAACTGAATGACTCTGTTGGGTAGGAGAAGATCACCAGATGGAGAAGCTGAAGTATTTCACACATTTGACACAAAGAAACAGCTTCTGTGTCTTTACTGAATTCTGTTTTTTAGTCCTGATTGTCTTTGTTATTTCCCTCAGCCTTATGTTTGTGTTTATTCTTAAGTTCTTTCTCCTTGACTTCATTGAGCTGTTTCTTTGTGTCTTCTTTAAATTTCTTGGATTCTTAGATGAAGTTTATGATTGTCTTTTTAAATTCTCTGTTCTGCTGTCATCTAGGTAGTCCTCATTGGCAGCGTTTTTTACATGACTGGTGGGTTTTGGAGAGAGGACACTGACTTGATCTTATATTGTTGGTATTGTTTCAATGAGATCTGGCACGGGGACTTCCTTAAGTTAGTTTTAAGTTTGCTGTAGATGGAGCAGGGTGGGGGAGAAGAAAGAATGTGGGCGTGGGTTGCGTCTATAGGTTGGAAGTAGGACATGACATGGATTGGGGTATGGAGTTGACACAAATGGCCCTGTGGGTGGAATACTGGTAGGGTAGGTCCTGGTAGGAACTTAGTGTTGTCTACAGTTCAGGAGGAGGTGGTGGGACTAGGCTTAGATTTGGGATTTGGGGCCCTATAGAAGCTGCAAGATGCAGGTGGCCAGACTCGTCTGGGACACTGGCTGTGGGACTTGGGCTAGATTTGATGGGATGTGGAAAAAGAAGTACCGGGTGTGTGTGTGGTATTCACCAGACTAGACCCTGGAGGAGTCTCATCTCTCCTGGAGGAGGATATGGGAAGTCTGAGTATGGAGTGGGTGGTAGGCACTACCGATTTTCTGGAGGTTTTGTTAGTTTAAATTTTTATTTATCTAATTTTATCTATGAGTGCTCTGCATGTATACCCGCATGTCAGAAGAGTGCATCAGATCCTGTTATAGACAGTTGTGAGCCACACACGTGGTTGCTGGGAACTCAGAACCTTTGGAAGACCAGCCAGTGCCCTTAACCTCTGAGCCATCTCTCCAGCTCCTGTTTGCTTTTTAATATCCATGTACTGGGTTTGGAAATCAGGCATCAACCCCAGCCCTTAGTTTTAGAATTCTTCTAAAAGTATTCGATGAATACAATTATCAAATATTAGGAACAGGGGCTAGAGAGATGGCTCAGAAGTTAAGAGCACTGGCTGCTCTTCGAAAGGTCCTGAGTTCGAATTGTAGCAACCACATAGTGGCTCACAACCATCTGTGATGAGATCTGTTGCCCTTTTCTGGCATGCAGGGTTAAATGTAGACAAAATACTGTATAAATAATAAATAAATAAATCTTAAAAAAAATATTAGAAACAAATGCAGTTCTCCTGCCTTTGGGAATAAAGTTAGTATTTGAATATTTAGAACTTTGTGTTTTGTATTTATGCTTCTTAATTATCTGTCTTTATAACTCTGGCTATGAGGTTATCAAGTGTAAGTCTTATTTTCAAAAATAGCATTACTGCCTTTGAGGGATAACTTTTTATTTCTTTAATCTTTAGGTTACTTAAACTTAATAACATTGATGAAATTACTTTAATAATAATTTTTAGAAAGAATTTATATGTGTGGATGTTTTGTCTGTATTGTTTGTCTGCATACCCTTAGAGGTCAGAAGCAGGTACCCATCCCCTGGAACTGCAGTTACAGACAGTTTTGAGCCACCATGTGGTGGTGCTAGGAATTGAATCTGGATCTTCTGAAGAATAGCGCATGCTCTTTCTTGATTGCTGAGACATCTTACTAGCTCTGATTTAAAAGAAAAAAAAAAAATCAAGAGACTGGAGTTGGAGAGATGGCTCAGTTAAAAAGGCTTGCTACACTCATAGAAGACTGAGTTTGGTTCAGAGCATCCACGTCAGGCAACTTGCAGTCTCCCACAGTGCCAGTTCCAGGGGCATTTGATGCCTCTGGCTTTCAAGGGCACCTGACTCACATGTACATTTACATCTTCTCCTACACACACTGCCCATAACTACAAATAAAATAAAAATTTAAAAGACAAGTCGTGAAAGCCCTTTTGGGAGATTACCAGGTTATGACATGTAGGCATTTCTTCAAATGAATCAATGTAGATTATTAAAAAAACTTTTATTTCTTTGTATTAAAGAGTTCAAAGTGTGCCTGTTTTTAAGGCAGTGAAAGTCCATCTTTTAGAAGACACAAGTATGGAAAAGAATGCTGTCGCTCAGGAGACTGAAACTTCGCCCAATAGAATTGATTCCGCTACAACTGTGGCTGCAGCAACTGCTGCTGCCATCGCGACAGCAGCTCCTTTGATAAAGGTACTTCCCCTCCGGTGTACCCTGGGCACTGAGATAAAAGGTTGTCTGTTCAGAACTGACTCAGATAGGTGTGTCTGACTGTACACTTGGGGACGTTCTAGTTGTTTCCACTTTGAAAGGCTGTCCTATTTGTGGTTGTGAATTATTTCCCAGGCTGTGAAAATCTCCTGCAGGCTTTTTCACTGTAGCACCACAAGTCCACTGATTCTCTGAGAATCAGCCCAGGGCAGGGCCCTTGTGCAGTGACAGGCAAGTGTTGTCACTGACCTGTACTGCTAGACCTGCTGTCCTGAATGAGCTAGAGAATTACATGTAATCTTATCATATCATATATGCCACTTTGTAATGGGGAAATTTAATAGGTCAGGACAGGCATAGGACTGTAGAGCTAATGGACAACAGAGTCAAGTCTTAGTTTCAAAGCCGTCTTCCCTAGCCTTATGTTAGAGAAGTATCAAAAGCTGTTTTGGTTGGTTTGTTTTGAGACCGTTTCATGTATCGCAGGCTGATCTTCGCCGTTGTAGCCATGGATGAGCTTTAATTTGTGATCCTCCTCCACCCTTCAGGTTTCAGCATCATCATGTGTGCATCATCATGCCTTGTTTATGCACTGCTAGCGATCGAACCCAAGGCTTCATGCATGTTAGGCAAACACACTAACTGAGCTCATCCCTACATCGTTCTTTTTTGAGACAGGATCTCCCTATCTGGCTTGAACTTGAGATTCTTCTGTGATGACAGGATGTGCATTGCACAGCATGGGTCTGGAACCCTGACTAGGTATGGTTAAAAAAAATGAAGAAAGGACAGGCACACAGACAGAAAAACTGAAGGTCACGTGGGGTGTGTGCACTCTGACAGAACTGCACGTACTACCACCACAACCTGGAACTCCAGCATGTTAACTATACACAGCACAGGAGGAGCCAGCTCATCTCAGTAGGCTGTATTTGTAGTACCATAGTCTCAGACTGTGAACATCCAGGAGGAGGAAGCTACAGTTCCTAGTCTTTTTTTTTTTTTTCCAAGTCAGGATTTCTCTACAAAGCCTTGGTTGTCCTGGAACTCACTCTGTAGACCAGGCTGATCTTGAACTCAGAGATGTCCCAGCCTTTGCCTTCTGAGCGCTAGTATTAATGGCATAGGCTACACCCAGCTAGTTCCTAGCGATTTATTTATTTATAGACAGGGTTTCCCTGTGTAGCTTTGGAGGCTGTCCTGGAATTAGCTCTTGTAGACCAGGCTGGTCTCAAACTCACAGAGATCTTCCTGCCTCTGCCTCCCAAGTGCTGGGATTTAAGGTGTGTGCCACCGTCTCCAGCCTAGCTCCTAGTCTTAATGTACACTGATTAATCCTCTGAAAACACATTTGGATCAGAGGATGAAAGCCTGATCCATATGGGAAAGGGCTTGGTTCTTGTCATAGCTGTGCCCATGTCAATGATACTCAGGTCTTCATCTGCTTCCTACATGTCATAATATGTGGTGCCAAAAGCTACTTTGTTTTGGAATTCCCTTCTCTTTAACTTTCATTTAAGAATCTTCTTTTTTTTCTGGCATTATAAAATCTTTTGTGGCAGATTTGGTGTGTAAGAGTGTATACATACATGTGTAAGTATAGTTTATGAAACAAAATCTCCCTAAGAATTACTCCATTTTGCCTCTTAGCTTTATGACTCTAAGAAACAAAGGCATTAAATCATGAGAAATCTTGTGAGCAAAGGCTCAAGTTTAATACCTTCTCGGTACCAATTGCTGAAAATAACCTTCCTAGGACTTGAACATATCTTTTATGTCTTTCTATAATATGAAATACTATTTTGATATTTTTGTTTTAGGTACAGAGTGATTTGGAAGCAAAGGTGAATTCTGTTGCAGAATTACTTAATAAATTACAGGAGACTGATAAACAGTTACAGCGTGTGGCAGAGCACCAAACAAGCATTCAGAATAAGCAAGAGAAATTACATTGTCATGATCATGAGAAGCAAATGAATGTATTCATGGAGCAGCACATCAGGCACCTTGAAAAGTTACAGCAGCAGCAAATAGATATTCAGGTATCCATCTGTGATGAAGCCAGTGCGTGTTCCATGGTCCTTTTGTACTCACATCTATCTCTAAGTTAATATTAACTGATAGTTGTAGTTGCAGCTGACTAGGTCATGATAGTCTGATTTCTTGAGTCAGGATTTGCTTGCTCATCAGACTTTACTCCATGTGGATACTTGGCATGTTCTAGGTTAATGTCATTGGTGCTGTGAGACCTCTCCTTATAGGTGACGTCTCCTTTCTTTCTTTTGCAGTACTGTGTGTATGTGTGTGTTTGTGTGGAGGCCAGAGGCCAGTGTTTATGTCTTCTTTAGACAGCATCTCAAATCCTAGCAAGCTCCAGGAGTGTACCAGTCTCTGCCCCCTTCCCTCCCGGTACCGAGTCTGCAGACCTGACCGCCGCCGTGCCTAGCTTTTCACATGGAGCTAGGGCTTTAAACTCAGGTCCTTGTGCTTACAAGACAAGCCCTTTCCCCACAGAGCTATCTCCCCAGCCCAGTAACCTTATTTTTAAAGCAGTGATTTGTTTACATCAGCAGTTCCTGGCTTGTGAATATGCATTGGAGTCACTTGGAGAGCTTTATGAAAATACAGGTACTTGAACGTCTTGAGGATCTTGGGAGAACAGATCTGTGGTGTTGCTTGGGGGTTGTTGAAAGCTTTCTCATGGTTCTGATGCTCCTGGGGACAGAACTACCTACTGTGTGTATTTGTTCTTGCATTTAATTTATTAGAAGAATAAATACCTTAATGCCTTTCTAATATTATATATTGAGGTATTATAAAAAGAAAACTGTCTTCACAAATAGCTAGTTATTCATTTTGGAATTTCTAAGTTTTGGCAACTACCCAGCTCCAAAACATTTTTAAAATAGAAATATATAACCACTGTAAATTTACATGCCTTTTATATGTCCATTTGTGTGTTGCATGTGTGTATGCATGTTTGTGGGCACGTGTGTGTATGTATGCATGTGTGTGTGTGTGTATGTGCTGAGGTTGATATTGGGAATCATCCCATTCAATCTTCCACCTGGTCTCTCAAATCAAATTCATTGATATGGCTGGTCTTTTTGGCCAGCTTGCTCCGGGGACCATCTAGGTGGGAATTCAGCATTTACTTGGGTTCTGGGAATCCAAACTTTTGTCCTCATGACTCTAATCACGGAACAATCTTTTTGGCCCCTACGTTTCTTTTTCTTTTCTTTTCTTTCTTTCTTTTTTTTTTT